TGGCCTACGGGCCGGGCCACTAAGGCGTTTAGCCATGGCTCATACTGAACTGCTTTTTCTCTATGTGCATGTGGTTTCTCTTCATGCTCAACAGGCATCAAAGGCACACCTTCCCAGGCAGCGTCCATTTTCGTCTCAGCGGGGATATCCCCACTTTTGTAATGTCGCAATTTGTTGTCAATCTCTGCCACTGCTGCTTTGTGTCTGCTCTTCTCAGCAAGAAGGCGCTTGCGAGCCTCCTCGAGCTCATACTCGGCAATCGCTTTCTTCCTCTCAGCTTTAGAAGCTGCTTTCCATAGGAAGGGAGGGATTGTAGGTGGTTTTGACGAACCCTTGTACTTCCTTGCCTTGTATCCCCCGGCATCATAAAAGGACGAATCAGCTTTGGGAATCAATGTCGTTTCACCCGTGACGGGATCCAAAACCTCGATCATTTCAGCCTCTTCACCCCCCGGTTCGACGGCAAGGTCTCCCGACCCGCGAGCGCCTACAGGCTCTTCATCAACAAGAGCTTCTGGAAGCTCGGGTGGATCATCGGGTTCATACTCATGTTCTACGGCATGTCTCAAAACCTCCTGATCAACGAGATCCTCAACACTTGCAGCTTTGACATCATCGATCGACGGCGGATTGCTTGAAATGGTAATGCCTGGGTACAACCCCTCTCTAATCATGTTGTACCTACCTTTACATGGAAAGTGTAAACCGATGTCTGGAACAGCAATCTGATGAACTCTCAGTGGTTGGATCTCGGCACTGAAGTCTGATTCCATGACATCCTTCAATGGGAGAACCATGAACTCCTTTCTCCACACAAAATTGGACTGAACGGCATATCCCAAGAATATCCCCGGGTTTGATGTTGGCTCGAACCTGAGAGAAGATTTGGCCTTGTTCTTGGGGCCGATCCAGTAATCAATCCTCAACCCAAAGGGAACCAAAGGGCCTGTGAACTTCTCACCGAATCGAAGCGACCAAGGCGAACTACCCTCCCGGGCGTCGACGATGTTGTTTGCCATGCATGCATGCCTGGCAGCGTGAGCCCAATATTGGTGGTGTAAACCAGCTTGCTCTAGGTTTACCCTTGTTCCATCGATGACAGACCGAATCGATCTTTCAGCCATAGCGTTAGTCTTAGAGACGTATGCAAAGCTGGTTTGATGCCTCCATCCTAGCCTTTCGGCAGTTGCGATGAGTTCTGGTGAGTTGTCGGAATAAAATACTCCTACATCATCAGTCGAACGGACAAAATGCTTGAAGGCTGCTATGCACTCACGTGTTGATCGACGTGCGGCCGGATAGACATATCTGAAATCTGTTGCTACATCTTTCACGACCAATGCGACGCGAGCCCCATCGATGTCCATTTCTTCATCGTCACGAATAACGAGATGGTCAGCAGTCAAATGTTGTCCGAAATGATCCGCCTCTACCTGGGTCGAACCACCCTTGCTATACGATGGACGTTTGGTCATCTTTGCCCTCGAGCAAGCTTGACAAAAGGGGTTCTTCGGGGTATGAGTCAACAGATGCTGAACTGATTGTGCTTCTTCCTTAAGAGCTTTCTCTCCCCTATCCCTCTTCGGGTCCAACGGTTTTTCCACCAACCTTTCATCCACTGGCTCGGGATCATCTTCAACAGGATCCTCGCCGATGGGGCTGTCCTCATCGTCCTGGACCTCAATTGCCTCTTCAGCCGGCGACGCGGGCAGAGGGATCATGGGTCGCAGTCCCCTCGACCGATCATTCGTACCGTAAGGTTGACCTATGGCGGACATCGCAACACCAGTGGTTGATGGCAAGTATGGAACATAATCCTCTACTTCAAGTTTGACTTTGGTTCCATCTGGTTGCTTGAAGTATGGCCTACTGTAAGCGGGCCAATGGAAGCTCCATCCTGCTTCGATGCAGCGTTGTCCTACCGATACGACGGCTGGGCTATCTTCCAAGACGTACGGATTGATGTCAGCTCCCAACACGGGGACATTGACTCTGGCTTGGTCAGTGGCTTGAAAGACTCCGTTGGCAGTAAGAAGACTGACCGGTTTGGACGACTGAGACACTTCATCGGAATGTAGCATGTGCCTAGATACAAGATCGTGTGCGCTCCCAGTGTCAGCGATCCATGCAATCTCAGTGGCAGGCACTGTTGGGCACGACCTCTTCTCAAAACACTTGATGCAACCTATATCGGAGTTGCACAGGTACGAACATTCCGCCGGCAAGGGCAAAAGCTCGTCCCTAACAGCATTCTGAAGGTGTGAGGCTGCAATGGATGCGTCTTCAGTAGCGACACGAACTGCCTCAGCATGCTCCGGTCGACCTGGTGTAAAGGATCTTCGTTTCTTCTTACTTCGGGGTTGAACGGATCTCCAACTGGAAGAAGACTCAACAACTCAACAGCATGACTAAAAATGTTTGGTTGATCGTCAAAACGAACTCTTTGCGTAACAAAACTGTCAATGTTTTCTGTGTTGTCAAAATCGGTGCATAACGTGTTGGACGCGGAAAGGACCGGCGTGGCCACGCTTCCCAGCGGGCGAGTGATGAGGACGGAGGATCCCTGAGAGACCACTGCAGCCATGACCACTGCTCGAAGGAGGCAGACTGCTGCCGGTGCGTTGGAAGAAGAAGAATTCCCACCTTTCTTCCGCTGACTCTCTGAGCCAGTTGAGTTATCGGAGCCTGATGAACCTCGTGAGCTGCTTCGCTTGCGAGGCTTCTTGTCTTTCTTCTTCTTCTTTTTCTTGTCCTCTTTCTTCGCAGGGACAGTCTTTTCAGGGTGTTGGAATGCACAGTCTTTTCCTCGATGGCAACGCCCTGCCTTCCAAAACTTGCAAGTCTCCTTGCGAGATCCTGGTGTCAGTGATCTTGATCGAGATTGGCTGCGATCCTTACCCTTTCCCTTTCCTTTGCTTTTCTCGCGGCCTTTTTCGTGCTTGTAAGGACATGATGATCCGCGCTTGCATTTTCCGGTCTTTTGAAATTCGTAGCAGATGCCTTTCTTCTCTTCCGGAGCTGGCATGGTTGTGTCTTTGGACCCGAGCGAACGCTTCGTGGCGTCGCGCATCTTTTCCAACCTCCTCCGTTCGAGGTAGGCCCGGGCAGCAGTGATCAGGAAGTCGTACGTTCTTTCTTTGCTTCCATCGGCTGCACGGTCGTACAAGGCCAAGTCATGCTCAAGTGGCTTGAAACGTTTCACGGCCAGGTGGAAATAGGCTTCCAGAACACTATTTTCTGGTTCCTTTTTCATTCCGGCAAGAACGCTATCCCATTTATTTATAAAGCCCTTGAGGTCATCGTTGACCATTTTGACGGACATGAGGTCTTCGAGTCCGTAGATTGCTCCATGCTTAATGCTTGTGGCAAAATACTCGTGGAACCGAAGGAGCAAATGCCTACCTTTCACGTTCTTGTCTTCACGAGCACGCAGCTCCTTGAATGTAGCAATCTGCCGACCAAGGTCCCCCTCAGCGCAATTGGTCAAGCTTGCAAGAAGCTTTGCGTCGAGGGTTGCGAATCCCTCCGAATCATCCAAGGCATCAATGGTTTGGGAGTCTTTGTATACTTTCCCAACCCATGACCTCGCTTCATCCGGCTTTGCTGAAGCTGCAGCAATGTTGTCTCTCACCTTGATCTTCCAGTCTCTGTACTTCTCAGGTGTAGGGAACTTAGGAATGAGAATTTTATCAGCCTCTTTGGCTTTACTCTCATGACCCTTGTCTTTCGACTTCCTTTGCTGCTTCTTCAGCTCCTTGCGAATGATGCGTGCAAGACGCGATGATTCAGAACTTGAGTCATTGGAGTCATCACTCCCTCCTGACGAACTGGGTGATGAAGGTGATGGGGAAGGAGAGCGTTTCTTTCTGCGCTCCCTAGAGCGGCCCCTTTTTGGGCTTTTCTCTTTCTTCCTCTCTTTACCTTTCTTCTTCTTGTCTTTCTTTGACTTGTCACCACCCTCTTCATCAGCATCGGATGGATGAGGCTCTTCACCGCCTTCGATCCCGGGCTTCTCCAACTGAGTGCGAAGACTCGCCGGAGGCAAAGCTGGGGATGCCTGAGACCCAAGTGGCTGCATTGATGGTGCAGGCACTCGGTTCCCCGAGGCGTTGTCAAACCTCTCTCTCAACTCCTTGATTATTCGACTCTGTTCGGCTAACTCCGACCGAAGTGCATCCTCTCTTTGCTTGGCAGAGGCGCGTTCGTTCTCAACGACGGCGTGTCGTTCGAGCGAAAGGCGATCTAGATAAGCCCGTTGTTCATGAAGATGTTGATTTTGGTGGGCTTGGTTCATGTCACTCAATCGTTGATTGGCTAAAGCCTCAATGTGTTCCCTAGACTCCTGGACAGCCACTTTAGCTTGGTTCTCCACTACGTCTCTAAAATGCCTTGCATCCTCTGCTACTTGTTGCCCATGCTCGGCCAAAATGGCCTGATGTCGCAGTTCCGCGATCTGAGCTACCTGAGCTGACCTATCCTCATTGACGAAGACGGCTTGTTGATGAATCTGTCTTGCATCAACGTTCTGGACATTCATCACAGGAGAAAACTCAGGTTGAAACGGCGACGGAGCTTGAACACTGGGCAACAGGTCCCCCTGTGCACTGAAAGTCGGTGGCCCAATTGGCACACGCAACTCCAGCGGAACGACAGGGAGCTCAGGAGCAGGTGAACTTGACATCGCAGGCGAAGTAGGAACATAGCCTGAACGTGAGCGGTCACCACGGGAACTATCACCATCAGCCATGGCCTCTAGATAGTGCACTACCTATGGGTGGGTGAGACCAGGGCTAGTACCAAGCACGTACCGCACTTATGGCGATACGGCTGATAACCTGTAGTTACAGGAAAACGACCTAGAAGCGCCACCTAGTCGCACCTTGTTTTCCTTGAGCCAAAGTCGTACGAGTGAGACGTAAATGTCAATATGCTAGCGTGAAACTACAACAAACAACACTTCTCTCATCTTCTCTCCCCCAATCCCAGTGTTTCCATTTCTCCTGCAGACCATTCCTCAAGCGCGTGGCTTCCTCTTCCGATGGTGCCGAAACGTGAGCTCCCATGGCGCCCTGAAACCGAAAGGGGCCACGCAGAAGTTTTCACCAAGCCACCGGCCAAAGCGTCTGGCGCGTTGGCACGTTGCGTCTTGGATGTTGCACTATTTTAGCCGTGAGCCATGAGTCGTTCAGGATGTCGTTCATGTTCTTCATGTCCAAACATTATGGCTGTTTTACTCCCCTCCAGGAAGGACCTCACTTTGGATTTCAGCATGATTCAGGACAACTCTGTGAATTTCCATGTGCAATTGTGGACCGTCGTGACCACTCGAAATCACCACAGGAAAGAAAACTGTCGGACCGTTGCTGTCAGCGCCACTGCTCTGTACCGATGACTTGAGCCAAACGTTGTCGGCAAGAAATGGCGTAGCTCCAGATGTGTGGTCTATGCGTTGCAGGTGGGTTTTGCCATTGCCAGTGTTCAGGATTGCATAAAGGAACTCTTTTAGTTGAAAACATGGTCCTGCTGAAGCTATCACAAAGCTATGCATGTTGATACAACTTATCACTTATGGCAAGAATTTGGTCTGTGAACACTGAGCAGCACGGAGCGATACTGTCATCGATTCCACGTACCGGTCACCGGTCGTTCCCCACGTGCCTCCAGATCAGAAGGAGCCCAAACCTGCAGAGTCAGAGTGGCACGTTTGGAGCTCATCTCACTTAGCTTGCCTTCACTAATCTCTCAGCTGAAGGCGATCACAGCAACCTCCAACCTTTTTGTGTCGCCACCTTTGACATCAGCGACCAGTGCATCAATTACCTTACTTTACAACCCGATGGGCTGACTCCATAACAAAATACAAACCCATCCCATCTGGCACACGTTCCCCGAGAAATCTTCCGACATTTCCCGAGACGTCCCTCATGCCATTGTTCCCGGAATCACTCGTTTCGCCTCGCCCAAATCCCGACCCGAACCATCCACATCCCAGGGGCCGCGCCGCTAGATCCGCGGTCTTCGACTCGCCTCGATGTTGATCCCCAGCGAGGCCAGCTCTGCACGGCGCTCGTTCTCGGCGTTCACGCCCTCCGCCTCAAGTCGAAGCAAACGGTTTTTCAGCGGCTGAGCGGAGCGAAGTTGCAAAGCGAATCAGAGAGAAGGACCCAAACATCCTCAAGAAAACCAACATAAGGCTTAGATGTTGGTGGAATGCCACTAAAGTCGTACCTTCATGGATCGATCCATCCGGAAATCCACAGTACAAAAGCAAAAGCAAACTATATATACATCCCTTTCTCGAAATGAATTTGGATCGCACACGCACAAGCCGTTTTTTTGGAAGATCTGGTGACGGAATGCTGCTCATGTGGGGGTCAACTGTTCCCTTTTCTATACATGTTATCTTTTACATGTTGAGGGATTGAGGGATTTCTATTCTAGAACGTTCAACGCATCTGTTCGACAAATGTCCGCCGTTGTAGAATAGAACACACTTGCTGAACTGCTACAATCATCAAAGTATCATCCTGTACATGTACTAGGAACAACAACGCTACTAGTAACAAACGGCATCGCTACTAGGGGCTCCTCTGATTGCTTTACCTCGCCAGACCTCACTTCGAGGGCTTTCCTTTCACACCTGTGGCCGACCTGGGCTCCTGACAGGCGACAGCAAAAGCTTTGGCTCTCGCATGGTGCCCACGGGTGGCGTTTTCGCCTGCACGACGTGAAGTCGGAACGCTGCCCGAAAGCCACTGGTCCGGTGGATTCGAGAATAATCCCGAGTACCTATTAATAAACACTCACCGAACCCCTAAAATCGGTTTATATTTGGTTTTAAATTGCCGCCCTTTCAAACCGCTACTAAGCTACCAACATGGTCGATTTTGGGGGTAGTTCTTTTTATTAGGTTCCCCAAAGCTCCACCATGACACGCCGCGCTTACACCAGCAGGCTTTCCTTCCCTCAATGGCACGGACTCACGCAAACGCACTTGCCACCGAGGTCATGCAACACCGCATGGCACAGCGACATCACCTTTCGAAAGCTTTAGCTGTTAGTCTACTGAAGAATCACTATTCTAATGAAGGTTTTTGTAGGGGAAAAGGAAGACCCTTCGATCTGGCGGTTTTTTGCATTTTTGATACGAGTTTAATAAAGGATTTATATAAAATTTTCCTGGATTACTTTTTGGTTTTGAAACTCTTTCCAAGTGACACTATTTTGGCCCCCCCGATTTCAGGGACCCCCTATTAGAAAAAATGCGACCGAGGTTTTTTTAATAGGAGGGGGGGGAGGCCCGTGTTTATTATTAGGAGGACGGGATTAACCTTGTCTTTCCAAGCGCGCCAAAGGCTTCCAAACATAAACAGAAAATGCTGGTGATGCTGCAGAATAGATAGAGCAATGTTAGCATCTTGTAAAGATCGACCCAGTGTCTTCAAAACATATAATTGCCACCGAATCATGTTGCTTTTTTGTCAATGGCTCTGGAAAGATCTTAAAGAAATCATCAAACATTGTCGGAGATCATTTGATATTCTTTTGTTCAAGCTCTGTTGCCCTCATCCGACCTTCTCTGGCACCGGAAGGCGCGCACAAAGCGGGCCCTTGGCGCAACTGTGCACTGACAACACTCTTGGGTACTCTCTTGGGTATATCATTCACAACCCACCCCGGATGTTCAATACTATTCAGGGAATGAACCACAATTACATGATGTGACATGAAATCATTCTTTGGGCTGTGGTTCGAGCAATCAGCCAGAAATGATCCAGGAAACACGACAACTCTGGATTCACCGTCACTGATCTGTGGCCATTGGGCAGCCGTTGACTTGGTAAAACTGCCCAGGGTTTCTTCATCAACTTCTGTGAAGAACCCAGGTTCGTGTCCGAAAGAGCCTATGGACGTCCACAAGTGCAAATTAATCTATTGTGTTATTTTCGTCTATAGAATTTGAACGATTTGCTTCCTTGACATCTCACCCCGAACTTTCAAGAGTCTTCAATCCCCCACTCCCCCAATGTAGGCCCCGGAAAGGCCCCGTTCAAGCGCCCTGTTCGCCACCATACACCCACCTCTGGGGTCGGCGCCAAGGCTTCCGGGTCGGCGCCCAGCTCTAAGGCTTCCTGCAAAAGCTCGGGCGCTCCTCAGCGTCGAAGAAATGCGCCCGATGTTGTGCGACCGTCCCGGTGTTCCAGTGTGTTTCGGCATGAAGAAATCGATGCTATCACTATCAACGACCCCGCCCATGAATTGATCTCTGGCAGAAGCACCTATAGATGAATTAAGCTGAAACCGTTAACTCACCTGATGAGTCAACTGCGCGACGCTCCTGGCGGCGCGTCGTTCGCGGCGGAAGCCAAGGCGAAGGGGATTTCCTGGCGGTGCGATTAGAGCATCATCATGTCCTGCCGCGAAAAAAAAAATACGCACTTCATCGCACTTCCAAAGATTTCATGAGATTTGATGGAGCAAAAACAAAGAAACTTAACTTGTGCTCGAGGACCAACCAAATGGCGGAGAGTGGTCGAGAACTGGTGCTGGTCTAGAAGTCTTGTGGCCAAGTCTTGTGGCCATCACCCGAAAAGAGAGACAACACACGCATGGCTTTTGAGAAGAACTGCTTGAACCACCGCATTCCATGAAACTCCGGCAAAGATCATGTCATATATTTGACATATTTCATCCATCTTGTGCTAACCCTAGACTCACTGGCTCGGAAAACATCCTCCCGGAGCAAATGAAACAGGAACACCCGGAGCCAAACTGCCCCAGCCAAACTCGGGCTGATGCAGAGCCAAAAAGGGAATTCAATCACGGGTATTTGGCATGGCTTGGCCCCATGAAATTCGGAGTTTCGGCTGTTTCCCACGAATTTCAGGTGAGGACCTCATTCGGGTGAGGACTGGCCTGGACTTATCCAAGATTATTCAAGAGGCTTGTCAAGGCTTGTCTTCAAGATTCCCAGTTGAAGGACTCAATCGAAGCCACTCCAAAGGATGTCATACTGAACATGCTGTGGAAATGTCTCCGCATCCGAGAGCAATAAGTCCACTTGGATGTGATAAACCTGAGATTTTCACGCATCAAACTTATTTAATCTTGTTTAAGTAGTTGTTCATCATCACGTTAAATGCATCCAACGACCTTGAAGACTTGATGTCCCACATGATGAAATTCCAAAGAGAGCTCCAGTCGTGCCCGATGCATCGAGAGTTGCAGCATGTCCACCCGGACCACTTCGCTCGGTGTCCAAACCAGCATCGCCTGCTGCATCCGCTCTTCGGAACCCACACACGCGATGCACCCGACACACACGCGCGCGCGACGCACGCCCGGCGCACCGCCAGTGGTGCCAGCTCGGGACTGCTGACGCAGATCTGCAGGGAACACCTGGCACCATTGGGCAGCGGTTGGAAAGGCCTTTTGGAATCTATAGTACTATAATGTACTATAGTGTATATACTGTACTGCTAATAATTCAATGATTGACTGTAACCAAAAAAACACGACATCCAAGATCCATCCCATCCTGGCTCCCATCCAGCCCATTCATCGCAGCCTTTCATCTCCACACATCGCCCACAGAAGTGCGTCGACCGATGCGCTGGTCCGCACCTCCAGAGACGGAAGCGCATCTCCGTGGGAAGCCGCTCGTGGACGAAGCCAAAGAGCTCTGGCCACGAGAAGTTCCTCGCGAGAAGAGCTCCACGCTCGGCTCGGTCGGGGGAGGTGTTCAGGCGGGTGGAGGGCAAAGATCGTGCGAGTTTGGAGAAGTTGGGAGGGTTTAGGAGTGGAGTTTGGTAGTGTAGCAAGAAGCTAGTAGGTTGGAGGCCATCGCTATTGAGTTGGAGGCCATCACTACTATGGTTTCTATGGTTGAAAGGAATCGGATTGTGTCAGAAGACCAACGAATAGCCAGGCAGGCATGGCTCACCGAATGGCTCAGCAGTGCAGCTCCATAGCTCCCGTCTGTCCTGAGCCAACGCGTCTGTCCGTCCTCGTTGTGCGGTAGCAAAACGCCCCTGCGCCACAGTCCACCTTGAGCACGCTCGAGCAGAGTAGGTGCTGTTCATCTTCAACAATGGGGCTTCTACTAGGAGCAAGAAGCTACTAGGAGCAAAG